TAATGCACCCATGCCCAGGTGCAATCCTAGTTATACATGTAGACATGACAGATATGTGCACATTCAGCAGAAAGGTTATCATGCAAAATAAGTGTTGCGGATAAATTCAAATGTAACGCTGACCACTAAGCTCAGAGATGATTTAAATCTCTAACACACAAACACTACCGTAGTAAGTAGGTAATAAATATGCAATGGTTGCTTATGTAGGCCGAGATGTGTCTCACATCCCTACAATGCACCCATTCCACATCATAGGTTGTAACTGTGTCACGAGAGACCCAATGAATGTACTCAAAAAGCCCTCAACAGCAGAAGACTTACTCATAGGGACTGCAAGAGCAATATCAATTCCACCTGTCTCTCCTAATGCTAGTTATGTACAACATGACATTACAAGGCGCTGCATCAATCAAGATGTGTTTTCAGCACGCATCATCAACATCACTTACAACTACTGGAGAAAATGTTGAAGAAAGATGCTTCCGGTAAGGCCCATCTATCATTAAAAACTTGATCTCGTCGCCTTATTCAACTACATCATGCAAGCACACATACAGTGTCAATCACAGATTTTCCCGAATACCTGAGTGGTCCTTGTCCATCGCCCTGAATATCGTCTCTAAGCTGTTCTTGTAGCGATACAGCACCTCTGTGATGCTGGGCCCTCCGTCGTGCCCTCCTATCGTTAACTCCATCTCCATGCATGACTCGTACTCCACCATACCCTACGACAGAAATGCAGCAAATCACAAACACTGGGGGTAATGTCTGACAAAGTTTCAACGCCCATTTGTGCTACCACATTCCCACCTCCACCTGCTGGAACTGTGATTGCTGCTTTGGTGATCCAGACAAGCATGTGCACATGGATTTCTATGCACGTGAACTCCCTGAAATGTGCTTGACTACAGTTGCCACATTGCAACACTCCTACTTGCACCCAAGTACTCTTCTCCTACTTGAAGTCATTGAAACGTACTGGCTACAACTACCATGCTGTAATGCTTCAGCTTGTACTCAAGTACTTTTCTCTGCACTGACTGTACTTTTCAAGAGCTTTTTGTTTGTTTTGCAATTGGTTTTATTTGTGGCAAATTGCATTGCGCTGTAATACATGTATGTGAAGTGACTGAGATATTATAAGGAAACCATGATTTTTCTGGACTGATTTGAATACATGAACAATGGGCTTATGCCCTTCTACCAGGCAAAACTCTAAGCACACAGTCCTTATTGGACCTTGGACACAGAGGCTTTGTTCTCATCATGGGCACTGGGGGGCCACTTGCCCACTCCCTGAAAAAAATGAAAAATAAAAAACGGAAAAAACCAGAAAAGTGTAAAAAAACAACGAAAGGAAGGGTTGAAAATGACCAATTTGCTTGAAATATCCTAAATTAGCTCCCCATTAGTGTTAACGGTTTAACAGTCCGACTGATGGGCACCTCCCCCCTCCCCAAAAAAAGAAAATCCTGCCCCCTCAAGAAAACATCGGGCAACGCCCATGGTTCTCATTGCTCTTACCTGGTCATTAATTCGGATGAGTTTATTTCGCAGTGTCCGCCATGGGATGGCAAGCTCCAGCACTTCCTCCATGACATGAGCCCACTGTGTCAATGTAATAAACCCTGACAGAAACAAACAATCTCATGCTGAACACACATGGTATCATATCGTAACAGATCGAATGCTCTACTTCATGAGATGAAGCAGAATCAATTGTTACACCAAGGTCATAGTGATTTCTTATTGGTCACAAATTGATCACGTGATATGCTACAAGCGCGAATGTATCATTCATGTGTCGAGCGCACTGGCAACGTTGCTGAGCCGCAAAAAATGATGGATAATGGTGATCTTTCCCACAGTTGATGTGTCCTGTCTACTGCGTTGTAACTGTTTAATCTTGGGTACAAGAGTGGATAGCCGCAGTGGTACTACATACCAATTATTGTAGGAGATATGCACTGTGTGAGGGAAACTGAAGCACTGTGTCCTTTCACAGGTGCTACTCTCTTCACTCTGATTATGACAGAGATCCGCGGGTTACTAAACTTCATGCACCCAGCTATGCTTGTGGAACACGAGTATGCTCTCATCGGAATTTCTGCCACAACCACCATTGCTGTTTATATAAAATGCCCATGCTGTTGTTTCTTCTCGTCTGCTCTTCAATCTTGTGAATCTTGAAGTTCAACCAGTCAACAAAAACCCAAGTGCTTTATCAATCCCAGGTTTCTCTAGTAACCCAGTTTGTTATAAATCCTAGATTCCCCCCCCCAAAAAAACTACAACAAAAGACATCACAATCAATTATTTTCCTTGCTACTTAATGCCTAATTTGCTGTGCAAGTTTTTCAATTAGTCAAAGTATTTTAATTTATCTTGCAATAAGATATGCACATTTTATGCATAAGTCCTTTCCAGTGTATTCTATGACCATGGTATAACAAAACATTTGTTGCCTGCTGTGATAGGGGTCCTTGGGTTTTGTAAACCATGGACCCCTACACCTCAGGCAACAACTGTTAAATGGAACACTCAATCTTTCACCACAGGAAAATATTCTTTCAAAACAAGTTTGCTCCTCCCCCTAAAAAAAAATGGTTTTGGATCTGCCCTTGGATAGTGTAGCCCCTTTTTTATTGACCTGAGACTTGATTGGACGTGGGAAAAATTCCTTGTGACTTGACTTGGAAGACAGTGACTTGACATTACAAACTATGCAAGAAAAAACTTGCTCTGTCTTTTCATGATACTGCTGTTTTATTACTGGAAATAACAGGACACTACGATTATGATGGAGAAAACTAGGCAGACAAGTCAGACCTGCTTTGAAAACATACAATGTACCCGCAGGTCACAACAAAAGATGCCAGGAAAGTGCGGAAGTATAAGGATTTCTAACTTGACAGGGGAAAAATTGACTTATGACCCAACTTGCAGGAAAACAACTTGTGCCATGACTTGTAAAAATTGGCTTAGCTGTTGAAAGTGACTTGGTTACGACACTACCATTCTGCTACCAAGTTTACTGGAATAAGCTAACCAGTTTTTAATCCTGAAACACCACAGATATGGAGAGAGGATGGGATTATCCCACAAAAGATCAAGCACAAATCATAAGGCTGCACCCAAGAGGAAAAATCCTCAGACGCAAGCTAACTTATACAGGCCAATGCTGCATGAAGTGAATATCAAAAGTCTGGCAGTTTACCTGTGCCATTGGGGTCAAACTGTTGGAATCCCTGCTTCAGAGTGGTCTTGTTTGAGGCCATCTTTTCTTTCAGATCTCTCAGTGCTGACTTTTCTACAATGCTTAATCTAAAGATGCAAAAAATGGGCAAAATTTAGGCTGGCATTCAGAAGAAGGGATGGTGCTGGAGGAGAGGGGTGGAATAAATCTTGGCTCTGTCTTGGTCTGGTGCCAGGCTTTATTTTTATGATCTGGGTCTTACTTATTGCGACCCCCTGACTAAGCACAGCTTGATTCCTTTCCACAGACACATCAAACTGTCTGATAAGAGGCTAAAGTCTGAAGCATTTACATTTGGTGGTTTTTTATTTTACCCGCAACTGACTTGTGATTGACTTGCCATTTCAAATCTGACCAACTGATGACTGACATGTGATTTTACCGGTGATTAGCTAGGACTGGACTTGTAATCATTCCTGTGACTGAGTCACGATACACTCGCGACTGTACGAGTACCTGTGACAGAATTATGATTAACTTGTGATCTGTCTTCTCACTGACATGTGATTTGACTTCTGACGCATGATTGACTTGTGATTTTATCAATGAATGACACTTGATTGACTTGTGAATTCACTTTTGACTAATGACTGACTAGTGACTCATGATTTACTTGTCATTTTGTAAGTGAATGACAAGTGCTTGGTCTTATATTTCACTTCTGACTCATGGCTGACTTTCGATTTTAAATGTAACTGTCTTTTGACTGACTCATAGTAAGCCTTTTGCAAGTTAAGCTTGAATAAAATCTGGTACACTGAGTTCCTTAAATTCACATAAACATAACAATTTGAATTCTCCAGACTAAAGACACTGTTGCTATACCTTATGATTCAGGGCAAGCTGTTGCTTAGTTACATTAAAGACGCCTTGCACCAATACACTGTTCACAGTGGATATGGAGGCCACAAAGGAACCAGTCCATTCCAGAGATGGTGGTCGCTATGCAAAAGCTTTGCCCTGAATCACGAAGTACAGCAACAATGTATTTACTCTGGGGAAGTCAAATTGTTATATTTATGAGCAATCAGATAACTTAGTGGACCAGATTTTGTTCAAAGTTGACTTGCAAAAGGCTTACTGACTTGTGATATTACCAATGGCTGATTTGCAATTGACTTGTGACTTGACTTCTGATGAACCTGACTACACCTCCAAGCCCTTACAACCTTTCCTTAAGGTTTTGTCAATGGGTGATTCCAGCAATGTGGGGCTACATTAACTCTCATGTCCTTCCTTACATTTGAAATTTGTTTTCCACTGTTACACAGAGTCAAATACACATACGATCAAATGATTTTATAGGCTCAAGTTGTGGGACTTGAACCTAAAATATCTGGTACCAAAGGATGAAATACCTACATGTAACTACTTTTGAGAGTGTGGATTTGTTAATACTAATTCACAGTTTCACATGTAAGGGGACACCAAAGCTGTGTGACATTGTTTAAAGTGCTTTGGAATATGTTTTGGGATTCTTGTATGTATTAAATAGTGCCCTGCATATAGAAAATTACCCTTCATTTAATAAAACAAGAAATCAATTTTACTGACACTAAACCTAAGTGATCGCACAACTAGTTGAGTGAGAGTCACAGCACGAAACCCAAATGTTTCCTGTGTCAACAAGACACACTTTACATAACAGGTTTTGCCCTTACCAAAACCCGTTATATAAATTAACATCTCCCCAACGTAAAAATACATCTTGAAAATAGTTCGCAGTACCCGCTGCTTCATTTGACTCGGACTGGCCAGTCGACCCCGGCAAGCTTGGTGGTCGAGTGGTT